ACAGAAATGATTTGACATCTAGCATGTTTGAGACCATATAGTGAAATCTCTAACAAACTCACAGGCCATTGTCAGTCAAAGCACAGCAGCACCATCTCTGGTTGAGGCTGGATGTGCCACTAGTGGATGATTTCCACCATAATTGTTTTCCCGGCAGGTATGGCAAAGATCATCCACCTGTTCAGGTGTTAGAGTCCCAACGAGTTGCTTCCACTTGGAACCAAGGACATCAGCAGCATCTCCTACTGGCATCTATCAATATTAAGAGAGGCTTTACCCTGACAAACAGGGCCCTGTGAAGAAAAATGAAAATCATCACATCTTCTATGTTCAAAGAAAGAGCAAGAGAGGATGTGGATAGGTTCCTGAAATGTTTCAGGCAGGCCAATGCCTGGAATAGATGACCTTAAGAGCAGGTTGTGCAACTGTTACTTCTGAGCTTAGATAGTCCAGCCCCTAATGGTGTGAAACACCTGGATGAGAAGTAACAAGATGATTGGGAAACCAGCATGTAGAAGCTGCATCACTGATTTAACCCAGTGGAGGCTTGGGAGACCTATTGGACTTAGTTCAAGGCTCGAAAAAGGATTGGCACAGAACTGCCTGCCTACACGAACGACTTACACAGATTGCACGGGAAGACATACCAGACACTGGCTTCTGCAGATTAGAAGGATATCTTGGTTGTTAAGTTCATTGATGGGCTTCCCAACTAACTTGTGACAGCTCATGGGAGAGAGCGACATTGTCACTTTCATGAAAGCCATGACATGCTTTAAACTCGTTAGTTCAAACTAACCATCAAAGTAGAAGAGGTCTGCAGCAGTTGTTGAAATGAGAATTCCATTGATTGATGGTATGATTCAGGTGCATCCACTGTGGTGGACTAAGCCAAACTGCAAGCTGAAAAACAGTCACTTGCACAAAACAGAATGTGTCATAAAAATACTTATCTTTGGCGAGTTAACAGGGCTGTACCAAGGTCTAGTCACAGAATATATGACACAACAAGATCTGGACATGGGATACGTGTACATGCTATTAGAAGGCCTGCCAATGAGATACATATTGCAGTCATGGCTGATGCCTCTGCTTTGCTTATAAACACTAAAAAAGACACTTTCTGTACTTTGAAGCACAGAAGAGATATTGGCTCAGCAGACATCTGCTCTTTCGTGACTACCTACACCAGCGACAGTGGAGTTATCACAGTTGCTGGATGGAGTGGAACACGTAATCACATACGCTAGTTGCTAGTATGCTCATGGTTCCAAAATACAAATACTGTATCATGTAGAAAGGACCGCTTGCTCTGGTTATCTTCCTAAAACACTATCACCACTAATTGTATGGTTGAAAGTTTACCATTGGTGTGGACCATGCTTCATTGAAATGATTACTAACTCTTTCGCTACTACTTCGGTGGATTACAGTGATCATGTGACCCCAAAGTGACTATCAGAGTTTCCATACTCTAACTATTAACAACTTTTACAATGTTTTGTGTATCTTCACTAAAAATTTCAAGGTTTTCATAAACGTTACAAGACATTTGTATACAAAAAAATCCGAATTTCTATTAAAGATTTGTCAATGAATATTTGGAGTCAGTGAGTTTATTGCTCCAAATACAAAATCATTTTCATTCTAAGATTAAAAAATACTTTTCTTCACCTGAAAATTTCATATTTCATTTGCGTAATCTCTATAACCCCTAAATAAATTTAAGTTTTTTTTTTTAGAAAACTTTATATTTTATGTTATTTTCTCTACACGATCGGTTAATTTGACTGACTTGTTCCCATCACAATACTTTAAAGGTTGAAAAATGCGAAATATATTAAGTATTACTTGTCTGTCATTTTTAATATTGACAAAGAAGTTCCAAAGTACTTCTCAGAGTTTCTACTTCTAACCTTTTCTCATCTATTTCTTATGTTTATTTTACTGTTAGCGGCTGAAGTAGAAACCTGCCGAACATATAACATCGAATCACCACTTCTGCCATTAGATTGTTTACGTGACACCACTGATAACAAATAAGCTCGTGCAGTGTTTTTACCAGAACTTTCCCAAAGAGGTTACTGTAATTCAGGCTCCAAGAACACAATCGGATAGAATTTAGTTACATATGTACGTATAATGATAATAAAGTTATTTAACTAAATTTTGAAAACAACTCTCTAAAACGTCGTGACATGCGCCCTCTGACATATCTGTAGAAAGAGGGTTAAACTTTAAAATTAAAAATTGGGAGGGATGATAGCATATTGAATAACAATGTTGCAAGAATATGACTTTGTCATAATTAATTGTCCAATACTGCAACACAAAAACGAGAATATGTAAGGTGAGTGAGCCACGATATTCATGCTGGTGCGAGTACTGTAAGGTGGGTGCAATCCCTGCCAAAAATTGACTGAGACGTAGTAAATTCAATCAAGAATTAAGTCTCATCTGGATATCATCAGTACATATGATGACATTAATTTAATGTACCAACTGACCAATGCTGTGAGAGTACAAAGGTTACAAGGTGAGGCTGTTAACTAAACAATCAAAGTGAGTTTACCTAAGCTATTGAATTCAAGTGATTTTCTTTAAAGAACGTGTTTTAGTCCTATGGAGATTAATACAGAAAGAGCGAAAGTGTAGAGGTAAACAGTTTTGTAGAAAGGACTGCCATTTTATCTACATACATATTCTGTTTATTTGTTGTAACCAAGATTTTGATCATCCATTCAGATCTCTCCAGACTCATAACTTTACACTCAGAGGAACTCAGTCAAGTTATTTGTTACTAAATACTCACCTTATTTCATGATAAAAATCTGTCATTATTTGTGGGTTTGCCTATCTCATACTTGTAGGGAAGTCAGTTTTATCTTAAAATACCACACCTATCACATGATTATAAACAGACTGTCCAATTTCTACTGCCCTACCCAACTTAAAAATAAATAAAATAATAGAGTGACTGTCATTCCCAGATTTTCAAGTTGTAGAAACTGGTTAACAATTAAATGGCTTTAGAAGATTGTTCTTACAACATACCTTACATACTATCTGAATGATATTGTAACATAATTTTACCTTACATATTATCTGAATGATATAGTAACATAATTTTACCTTACATATTATCTGAATGATATAGTAACATAATTTTACCTTACATATTATCTGAATGATATAGTAACATAATTTTACTTTACATATCATCTGAATGATATTGTAACATAATTTT